CTATGATGTGGAATCCCTCGTCAACATGGGAAAGATTCAAGTTGAGTTTGTCCCCCGTGGCTAATACGACAGTTAGAGGAAGAAGCTTCGGTGAAGGCACCATCTATCTTTTAGGAGCTTTATTATCTGTTTTTCAGTTTCCTTGTAGTCACCAGAAATGAATGAAAATGAAATTTTCCATTGTATTCGAACTACGTAGGGCCTGAATTCTCCTTGGAGATACGTAGGAAGCCTTTCAAGGCCCGACCCCTATCTTTTAAAATTTTCTTTCCCCCCTTTCATTCTACAAAGAAACATTGAATTCACATCAGCAGATGCCAGAAGATGCAACGAGAAGACCTTAGCTCAACGCAATTTAGCCTTTCTGAGTCACTAGCCCCAAAATAAAAAAGAAGACCTTAGCTCAACATAATTTAACCTTTCTGAGTCATTAGCCTCAAAATAAAATGAGCAAATTCCTGCTTGTTCAAAAGTCAGTCTCCATTATTCCGGGTTAACATGTTCTCAAACAAAGCAAATTTTATGTGTTTATTTGCTTTCTATGTGATATCTTGCATTATTCATCAAGAACTAATACTGATAGATTTGCCTTTGAGTTGTTTTTCTCTACAGGTAGTTAGAACTGATCTGTGTTGATACACTGGCCGATCATCCTTATTTCACTAGATCTAAAGGTCCTATAGATTATTTCCCTAATCAAAGTTCACAAAAGGAAAAAGCAGCAATGGGTGATAATAACGAAAAAATCGGTCTTACTAATGTCGTGGTGGTTCAGCCCGTCCTTGCCGATCAGAATGAATTGATCCTGCAGTTGATGCAACAAATTGCTGAGATGAGGGTCGAGATGCAGAAAAAACAAGATTTGCCTCCTCCGGCTTTTACTGTCAACACTCAACCAGACGGAAGACCTCCAACTCAAATTCCCCCTCCTAACGTGGAATAAGCTCAAAACCCACCTTCAAATCCTGCTCGTAATCCCTCCATCATTGACCTTACCACCCAAAACCCCCACTACGCCTCAACCTCTTATCAAACCCCACCCCTCCTCAAAATACCAACCTTTAAGCACCACTCCCTCCCCCCAATGAAAACCACCAAACTAGCCTACCCCCTCACAGCCAAAACGCCAATAACCCACACACTTCTCTCATTCACCAAAACTAGTATACTAGCCCCAGACTTTCCCCCAAAACTATCACGCCCCTTTAAATGGCCAGAGTCCCTCTATTGCTCCACCACAACCACAAACAACCACTTTCCAAATACCGGTCCCCAACGAGCATGACGCCCATGGTTCAGAGCTAGACCACTATAAGGAGAGAGAGAAAGAGTGGAGGTCAAAAGAAGAGACCGCCAAGATAGACATGAAGGTGGAAATTAGAAATGCCATGAAGGAGTTGAACTGCATTCCTGAGGTCGTCGGGTTGAGTTACGAAGACCTGTGCATTCATCCGAATTTGGACCTCCCGGAAGGGTTCAAGGTGCCAAAATTCGACATCTTCGGAGGAACGGGGAACCCCTTAGCACACCTGAGGGCCTACTGTGACCAACTCGTAGGATTGGGAGAGACGACGCTTTGTTAATGCGGCTTTTTAGTCGAAGTTTGAGCGGAGAGACTCTAGAATGGTTTACGTCTCATGAAACGAGATAGTTGTCTAGCTGGAACGCTCTGGCTAAGGACTTCATCGAATGATTCGCCTACAATGTGGAGATCGTTCCTGATCGTTACTCCTTGGAGGAGATGAAGTAGAAGTCAACCGAAAGTTATAGAGAATTCGCATATAGATGGCGAAAGGAGGCAGGTAGTGTTAAACCTCCTATGTTAGAAAAGAAAATTGTCGAATTGTTTGTGCGGGTGCAAGAGCCCGAATATTATGACAAAATCATGTTGCTCGTTGGAGCAAAATTTGCTGAGATAGTCAAGGTAGGTGAGACTATCGAAGATGGATTGAGAACCGGGAAGATTGCCCGTGTTGCTGCCTCGCCCAGATCTTCGAGCTTGTTGAAGAAGAAAAGAGAGGACGTGTCCTCTATCTCTTATGAGGGGAAGAAGACCCTAAGGAAATCCTCATCATATCAAGGTCGTTCTCGACCTTCATAGAGTTCATACCCGACTTGTTATGCACAACCTGATTACCAGAATACCCCTCCCTCTAGTTACCAAAATACCCCTCCTCCCAGTTATCAAAGTACTCCCCCTCCTAGCTACCAAACTCCCCCTACTATCTACCAAACTCCCCCTCCAATTTACCAGACTCCATCTCATCACTACTGAAATGCCGCCCCTAATTGTGCCAACGTTCAGAAAAATTACCAAACGCCTCCCCAATATACCAAACTCTAGCTCCACTTTACCAAAATACCCCCTCGAACTACCAAGCTCCACAACCAAATTATCAAACCAACTCGTATCCCAGATATCAAGCCCCCTGTCCGAATGCTCCAAATTATCGCCAAATGCCTCCCCCTCGAAGAGGCAATTACAATCCCTCCCGTCCTATATTTGAGAAGAAGCCTGCTAGAATTTTTCACTCCGCTTATTGAAAGCCGAACAAAGTTGTTTGAGCGATTAACTGCGGCAGGATATATTCATCCAGTGGGTCCCAAGCCGGTTAACACTACCTCAAAGTTTTACAGACCTTATCAGAGGTGCGCGTATCACTCCAACAGTGTTGGACATGATACCGAGGACTGTGTCAACCTGAAACATAAGATCCAAGACCTGATTGACCAGAATGTGGTCTCCCTTCAGACAGTAGCGCCCAATGTCAATAGTAATCCTTTGCCAAATCATGGAGGCGCCACTATCAATATGATAGAGACA